TCAGAGGGTTTCCATCCTGTGACTGAGGTCATGTGATTAGAAATGGCAGGATGAGGAATGGAACTGGGCCTTTAGATTCCAAATTTGGTGTCATCCTGTTATACCTCCACTGATTCCCAGTCTTTTCCAGCCTTTGCTATTTTACAAAACTATAAAGCTTGTCTTAAAAGCTTTGCTAAAAGCTTTTCTTTTTAAGATAACAGCTTAAAAACAGATGACATTGATCTAAAAAAAAAAAAAAGAAGAGTTACAAGACAACAACAGCAGTGCATTAAACCTAATGCAGGGCCCTTCTAAGCATGGGGCCCTGCGTGATCCAAAAAACCCTGAAGTTGGCCCTGGAATTAGAGTGTATATAAAATACTTTGTACAGAACAGATGCCCATTAAATTGTAGCTATAATAACTGTATTAGTTTTCGATTGCTGTCAAAACAAATTATTACAAACTCAGTGGCTTCAAACAACACAAATTTATCTCTCAGTTGTGTAGGTCAAAAGTCTAATGGGGTTAATATCAAAATGTCAGGAGACTCTAGGGGAAAAATCCATTTCCTTGTTTTTTCCAGTTTCTAGAGGCAGGCTGCATTCCTTGGCTCATGGCCCCTTCCTTCATCTTCAAAGGCAGCAGTGTAGTACGTTCCCATCTCTCTTGATTTGTAACTTATGCTGCCTTTGACACATTTCCTTCTCTGACTCTGACCCATTTCCTGTTTGAAGGACCCTTGTGATTATATTGGTCCCACCTAAATAATTCAGACAACCTCTCCATCACAAGATGCTTAATCACATCTGTAAAGTCCTTTTTGCCATGTAAGGTAGCATATTTATATAAGGTTCCAGGAATTAAGACTTGAACATCTTTAGAGAATCATCATTTAGGCTACTACAATATGAATGTGATGACAGTTGTGATCATGAAGATGAGAGCAGTGTTCACCTTTTTTCATCCTTCAGAGATTTCAGGATAAAGTCCAAACTCTTTTGCAAGACAGGGCCTGACCCATGCCTACGTTTCTAGCTTCAACTCTTTCTACTGCTCCACATTCACCCAAGTTTCTAGCAACACTGAACCACTTGTAATTCTTCCGTTGCAACCTGCTCTCACTTGCTGATGACCCTCTTCCCTACTGTTGCTGCTGCACGGAATATATGCTCTCATTTCCCCTCTTCAACATCCTTCTTCCCTCTCAATTCTCTTTTTTAAAGTATAGTTGACATACAATATTATATTATTTATATTGATTTTAAGTGCACAATATAGTGATTTGACATTTTTATATCTTACAATATGATCACCCCACTACTTCAGTAATTTTTTTAGCACTAAACCCAAGTTTTCTTCTTGCAGAACTATTAATCCACCATTTACCTGAGATCTTGAGTAAGTTACTTCTCTTCTGTAAGTCTCAGTTTTCATACCTAAAGAATGAAATAATAAAATATTACATACATTATTATATGAATCAAATGACATGATGCACATAAAACACTTAGCAGACTGCCTGGCAGATGTTCAGTGCTCACAAATAAATCATCTATATTTACCATTGTAAATACTTCTTGACCATTCCCACCAATGTGATATAAGAACTTCCTCCTCTGTCCCCTTTAGCAACCAGTGCACAGAAAGTAGAAGCCTTTACTGAAATTGTCTGTTTATTCTGCTGTACTGACCATTCTTTAAGATCAGGACCTAATCATTCATGTCTGTGTCCCTAATGCCTAGCACAGGGTTTGTACCTGTAGGTTAGTATTTATTGCGGCAAAATAGGAAAATAACTCTTAGGAGGACACATGCTAATTCTCTTCTCAGGATATTTCTGTAACACATTCCTTCCATTCTGATCTTCCTGCAGTACCAGTCTAAAAATATTTCATCTGCTTATTTAAATAAAAGTGCAGCATTAACAAAACTGACCCTGTTATGCCAAATTTCCTCTTGTCTTTCTTTGCTCTAGCCACTTCCTCCTTTTTTCTTTCTACTTCCTCCTGGTAAAAGCCATCACTTTCTGTGTCATGATCCCATCTTTTTATTATTTCTTAAGAGTGACTGTCTTTTTCCCAAAATCTGAGTTACTGCAAGCTTTGCGGAAAGCTGCATCATGTTGCCCATAACAAGGGAAGTCCCACCCTTCCCTTTACACCTTGTACTGAGCGTTTAGGTCACCAGGATATCTGGACCTTGACCACAGATAGAGTCAGCATGTGCTCCTTGTCCCTGTAGGTTACAGTCCAAGCCAGACCGAGAGCTAGAGCATCCTTGTCACACACTCAGAAACTATTATTAAACATGAAGCCACTTGAGCCTGTGTGCTCCTTGAGCACATATTTGAGGAGAATGTGGGGTTATCTAAGGCATTCATGAAGTCATCCACTTGACAGGCATCACAGATATCCAAAACCCACCCTTTCACTTGGAGAAGAGATGCTGCACAGCTTAATGGAACGAGTGCTAACTTTAGAGTCACGACTTGGCTTTGAGCCCAGTTCCTTCATTTACCTAGCTTGCTGCTCTTTTGGCAAACCACCAATACCTGTAAGCCTCTCTATCCTCAACTTTAGGGTAACATTAGACCTAGTTCACTTATCTTATAGGGTAGATATAAATTTTTTTAAAGAATGTAAAAATACTGGTACTTATCGGGCACTAACTATGCACCAAGCACTTGGTAGGTGCATTTTCCCTATTTTATACATGAGAAAACCAAGGTTCAGAGAGTTGCCATATAGTTATTTTGCTAACACATGGGGAGCCAGGATTCAAACACAAGGCTGTCTGATTCAAAAGTCTCTGTGTGTTTGTCGTTGTTGTTATTTTTCCCATTTAATTAAACCAGACTGCTACTCATGAATTATACATCTGAAAACATTTGGAAATAAAAAGTAAAGTTTTATACCACACAGGATAAATACTATTTTATAGGTGAAGAAACTGAGGCCCAGAGCAGTGCAGTAACTTCCTTTAGAAGCTGGTGGCATATTTTAAATCCTGCAAGGACTCAGTGGGGCTGGCGTGTGTGCAGGTCACTCAGGAGTTAAGGTGTGGCTGCATCCAGGTGAAAGAAGAAAATCCAACATGGCGGGAGGCATGTATTTAGAACTGTTTTCACCTGTGTCCCACTTTGTGTTGACACAATCTCAGTGAACTGTTTGGGTCACAAGAGTTTGCACTTTCCTCGTTGTCGGACACAGGAGGCCCTCTGGGGCTTGGCCCCAGCATAAATCCCCAGCCTCACTGTTGTCAGGCCTCCCTTGCCACCACCTACCGCCACACTTCCTCTTCTGTCATAGCGAACTACTTGCAGTTCCTGGAACACACCCAGCCAGTTGTGCCTCTGTGCCCTGTTCCCTTTGCCTGGATGGCACTTCACCCTCTGAGTGCCCTTGAGAAGAGTGCATAAATGTTGTTTCCTGAATGAAGTCTCACCTAGAGCTAGGCTCCCCCCATCTCTCCTCGCTTTAGCTGGAACCAACAATTCTCTCCTTTGGGCCTCTAGTATCTCCTCTACATAGTTTTGTACTAATTTTACTTTTTTATTGCACCAATTTATGCAATAAAAATGTCTATTACAGCACACTCTCCCTCTTGGGAGCATGTCCATGCCTTTCTTCTTCCTCGGGAGTGCATCTCCTGAATGCTTCAGGGTCCCTGCAAGACTTGAAACCAGGGGAGCAGTGGGCAGCAGTGGCTCGTCTGGGGCTGGTCCCCTGAACTTCTCCCCAAGGCCCCCTTTTCTCTGACTTCTCTGTGAGCCAAAGCAGCCCTGCCTGGGCTCTCCAGTCGCTTCTTGTATCCCAAGTCCTACCTTGTTTCACAGCCACCAGCTTTAATAAATGTACTCTCAAAGTAAAAAAAAAAAGTTTATTGCAATAATATTATTCATTTACATGTCTTTTTCAACTGATAACATGTTAAAAGTAAAACTACCTTATTTCTAATTTTATTTTTAGTCTTTAGTCTATAGTATGGTGAACACTTGGTAGCAGAGCCCGGTGGCTTGCTCACCCACCAGCTACTCCCAACTTGCTTATCTTTTGCCTCCTCTTCTGTAAAGGCTGGAAAAAAGCAAATTCTCTTTCCAGTCTCCATTACAGTTACTAGGGACTGTGTGTGGGAAAAATGGTATGGTCATGTAAATGTGTGTGTGTGTGTTTATATATGTTTATACATGTTTATATATTTATATTTGCATACATACATAGATTCATACAGGGGATCCAACACAAATAATACCCCCTTTTTATGAGTTGATAGTCTATACCAAATGTTTTATTACAAAAACATAAACATGTAATTCTGTAACATAACAATATCACACTCAAGTATACCATATGACATTTTAGGTGAAATGTTCAAATTGCTGTCCATCTCATGTGAGACATTCATGTACCCTACCAACCACACTCAATGGCGTTACTTTGGCCAAACCTTTTATACGTAGGAATGTAAATGAATAGAAAAATGTCTTGAAGAAAGACAGAAAATGTTAACAGTGAATACTTTGGGGATGTGAGATTGAGGCACAGAGAACATTGACTTTTTATACTTTGTAAACTTGTGCATTGTTTGAACAGCTGAAGTGTATTATTTTTATTATGTAGAAAATAGAAAATAAAACCTCACCAAAGAAGATATCCAAATGGCAAGTAAGCATATGAAAAGACAATCCACCTCATATATCATAAGAAAATTGTAAGTTAAAACAACAGTGAGCCCTGGCTGCTGTGGCTCAGTGGATGGAGCACTGGTCTGTGAACCAGTCAGGGCACATGCTTGGATTGCGGGACAGTCCCAGGATGGGGCATGTGAAGGGCAGCTGATCAATGTTTCTCTCACACATTGCTGTTTCTCTCCCTCTGTTTTTTCCTCCCTATCCCTCTCTCCAAAAATAAATAAATAAAATAAAGTAAATCTTTTTTAGAAAGTGAGAGAATTTCCATCCTGCAACCATGGCCCAGTTTGTCCATAACCTCACATAGAAGGCCCCAGCGCTGGTAAATGCTGCTGACTTACTCGAAACCTGGACTGGCCACATTTTGGCACTATGCTAAGGTCAAGCTGATTCCTCCAGCTTCTGCTGTGATCCCAACAGCTATTCAGAGCTTGAAAAAAGTAGTCAATAATGTTCAAACTAGTAGTTTCAAACAGCTCACCATTAAGGAAACTCTGCTGAACAGTTTGATGGCCATCGAGGTGTGTGGGTGTGGTTTTACATTGGCAAGATGATAGGTAAATGTGGCATCACTGGCTATAATGTTTGAAGATCAATCTTTAATGTCTATTTCTCTTTTATTTACTATGTGAATGTTCTTGGGCAATGAGTGATCAGAAAGGTATTTGAATTAAAAAAAAGATATATTAAAAAAACATGAAATACCATTACCTACTAGAATGGCAAAGACCCAAAACACTGACTACACGAAATGCTGGCAAGGATGTGGAGCAGCAAGAAGGCTCGTCCATTGCTGGTGGGAATGCAAAGTGGCATAGTCACTTTGGAAGGCAATTTGGTGATTTCTTACAAAAATAAACATTCTCTTACCATAGGAACCAGCAATCATGATCATTGGTGTTTACCCAAATGAACTGAAAATTCATTCTACATAAAAACCTGCACACTGATGTTTAAAACAGCTTTATTAATAATGGCAAAACTTGGCAGCCACTGAGACCTCTCTCAGTAAGTGAACAGATGAACTGTGGTACATGCAGACAATGGCATATTATTTGGTGCTGAAAAGAAATGCACTCTCAAGCCAAGAAAATAATGGGAGAAACTTAAATGCATACGTGAAAAAGCTATATGCTGTGTGATCTCAAATATGATGTTCTGCAAAAGACAAAACGATGGAGACTGTAAAAAGATCAGTGGTTGCCAGGGGTAAGTGGGGAGAAAGGAATGAATAGGCAGATCACAGAAGACTTTAAGGTGGTGAAACTATAATTGTGAACACATGTCACATGTATTTGTCAAAACTCACAGAACATATAACATCAAGAATTAATCCTAATATAAACTATGGACTTTGGGTGATAATGATACATCAACATAGGCTTATGAACTCTTATAAATGTACCACTCTGATACAAAACATTAGTAGCAGGAGAGGCCATGTGGTGGGTAAGAAGGAACTCTCTGTACTTTCCACTTAATTTTTCTGTAAATCTAAAACTGCTAAAAAAAATGAAATCTATTTTAAAAAATAGAGTAAAAAATGACACCAATTTAAGACTTAGCTCAACATATTTATTCAATTTTTATTATGCCCAACACAATGGCCTGGGTACTATGAGGGTACAGTGATAATTGAAACGTAGGTCCCGGTCTAAAAAAACAAACAGACCACAGTTTGTTTTCTCAAAGAGCTTAAATATAACATGGTAAAGATATAAAACTATACCATACTATAAAACAGAATTGCTAAAGAGCTACAAAAACACACCAAGAACTGGTTATGAGACTCCAGAGAAAGAAACAACTTGCTCTGTTCTGATCAGTGGCTCTTAGAACACTTAACTGAAGCAAGAACATGTAAGTAAGTTAGGCCTCCAAATGTAAATAAGATTCTGTCAGTCAGGTACGGTGTGGCCGGAGAACAGGAACAGCACCCTTGGCAGAGGAAACAGCACAGGTAAAGACATGGAGGCATGAAAATGTATACTGATGTGAGAAATGGTGGCTGCCTATGTGGCTGTGAGGGATACAGTGGGAAATAAAATTGGGATGGAAAAGTGGGATAAGTGTGCAAAATCTTGTACACTCCATGCTAAGTTGTTTATGTTAACAAGACAGAGAGTCAGCACAGGTTGGCAAAGTCTGGTAGACTGGTTTGCTTGTCCTGCAGCAGGACGGGATAAAGAGGCACAGGCTTCAGTGTTCAGGAAGGATGGGATCTGGCACAGAAGCCCTCAGGAGCCTGCAGTTGGAGCTCCCAGGATAGAAGCAAGGCCAGGGTGGAACCAGCAGCCAATTAACAACTTCTACTGCTTTTGGGGGCTGAGCAGTTCTACCCTCCCTACTCAGCCTCTCTCTAGCTAGGCAAACCTTCCATAAGTAAAAATCAAACTTTCTCATGCCGGGTGTCCTCGCTCAGGGTCACCTTCTCTAGGCAAAGAGAAATTTGTACAGATTTCTGGGGTTTTTTGCTCTTTCTCCTTATTCCCTCTATTCTAGGGTTGAGTATGGCACCTGTCACTTGATCCAACTCTTTCGGATCATCTATAATTCAGTCAAAGTGTTGGTACTTTAGAAGCTCTCTAAATTTTTCTGACTCTGGTTTTCTAAGCTCCTGACCTTATAGTACTACCGTACTTTTTCTCTAATGTTCTATTTGTGTCCCTGGCTGATTCCCAGTTGTTCCAAAATGTATTGGTTTAATGGCTTGGCTCTGCACTTTCCTTTCATCTGAACCTCACCTGAGAAGACTAAAAATAAAGGCTTGTCACCTATTATGGATGGAATTCATTGTTCCTAAGCTACTTGTAACCTAATCAGGAATGCACAATTTATAAACATTAAATGAAATGCAAAAAGTAAGGCATAGTGAGAAGAAAACTAAAATCAGGATCTACTTCTAGCAGTGACTAACTGGTTGAAGGACCCACCAGTTCTCTGAACCTCAACCATAAAATTGGAGGGTTGCTAGAAATCATATACAAATCTATATGATTTTTAAGAGAACTTAAAATTCTGTGACTAAGTGCTACATTGAGGGAGAAAGGGAGAGATCTATTTGGGTGGTGTTGTTTGGTACATCTTCCAGGGGAAAAAATGAATTAAAAATGAGCTTTAAGGATGGATGGGATTTTTGATTGAAAAGATTGAGAACACTTGCTGAGTTGGAGGTAAAAATCATCAGCCAATGGAGAGATAGGAATGAGCAGAGTGGTTTACAGCACAGCAAACACACTTACCTGCGCACAGCAGCTGGGAAGCAGTGGGGGAGAATTGGATGGGCAGGTTACGAGGATGCGGGCTGCAAAACCGAGGGGTAGTGGAGGATCCTTGCAGAGGGAAGAGTGGTCTGGGAACTGTGGACAGGATGGACAGGAAGGAGAATATGTTGGAAGGGAGATGAGATTGTGACTGTGGTCCAGGAGTGAGTTAGGTAATTCAGGCAAGGGTAGGAGATGTGTGAATGTAGAGGAAGTAGAAAATCTAAGAGGCATTTTTGAAGAAGAGTTTGAATAAAGAGGGGAAAAAAGAGGAAGCCATCTAAATTTACCCCCAAAAGTGGAGGGTATTTCTTTGGGGGATAGTTGGTCTGCTGGGGAATTTCATAGACTCATTTTTAGACATGAACATGCCTGAACAGTTTTACTGGAAATTCTCTAAGATGATCATGTCTCTGTAGGCAGTTAGAAATGAGAATATAATAGTCAGGAACAAATATGTAGGGTTTTTGATCATTCACACTAAGGCAGTAGTCGAAATCATGAAAGTAGATACTGTGTATGAAGGAGAATATTGCAAAGAGAAAGATATACAGATAAATTATTAGAAGAAAAAAAAGGAATAATAAGTCTTTTCCAATTCTCAGACTCCAAGTTAGCTTTCATTGTATTATTTCCATCTCTTAGAGTGTTCCTTTGACCTGTCTCACAAATCTACCTGTCTATCTATCTATCATCTGTCTATCTCTGCATGAATGTTAGCAGCCTTTTCATCTCTGATTGTATTATAGTAGATAGATTATAGTGTATACTTACACTTACACTCAAGATCTCAATGGCTGAAAATTAGTTCTTATTTACTCTGTTTCTCATTTCAATGCACATTTTATTGGCCAAAGAAAATCACAGAGCCACATCAATCTTCGAAAGAGGTGGCAAGTGCAATGCTCTCGTTTGCATTAACCAAGAGTAGAAATATTTGTGAGCAGTTCTAGCAACAACATGATAACAAAAATTTTTCTTCAGACTCCTTCTATCTGCAACCATGCCTGCACCACCCTTTTATCTGTATCATCCCTAAAATGTTTCTGGTATCAGCATTTTATAACCAGTGGTAACACAGCATAATTCCTGTGTAAACACATTTCTGCTTCTTTTCTCTTTGTTTTCTCCTTATTTTGATGCCAAGTATTCATTTGGTTCCATGGTTGGCTCTCCTTTTTCTTTTCTTTCCCTATTCTTGGAACTGAAGACTCAAGAAAATGCTACACCTACAATCAAAACAATCTTTGCTCCTCTTTCTTCTCCCTCTACTTCCCACTTTTTTCTTTCTCAAGAATCAATTACTTCCCTTTAAGCCCTGTCACACTTCCTTCTTCTACTTTCCCACTTCCTTATCACTCAGCATTTAAGGCCACCCCAGAACAAAATACCCAGCTGACAAGTTATAGATATTACTCAATCCACTACTTATTCTGTTTGAGATTAATTAACTGGTTGCCCTTGAGTTTCATAGCTTGTACAATTTCCCGTAAATTGTTGACTTGATTAATTCTAACCAGGATTAATCTTTTTTTCCATCAGAATTCCATAGAATGTTGTTTGAATTTCTAATATGATTATCACAGTCCTCTCCATCTCAGGATTATTTTTGTATATGCTCCCTCACTAAATCATGACACTCTTATAGTTTAAGCTGTGATCTACTTGCACATGATGGACATTCAATCACTGTTAATTCAATGATGAATTTTATTTTTTACTTAATTGACCATTGGTTTTGGTAATGCTTGGGTATATCTTAATTCAGCAAATGGCACTTATTAGACTCTTGCTTATATCTAAGAAAAAAAGGAATATGCAGTATTTTTCTACTGATGACCTCTTTACCTTTTACCTCTCATGTTAGACTATAGTATCATTGCTTATTTACTATTCATACTACACCTACCTCCCAAAGGGATTTGAATAGATGTGAGGCAGTGAGTTGATTCATTCATTCATTCACTGATTTATTCAGTAGTTGCCTAATGAGTGCCTATTATGAGCTAGAGATGGGGAGAAAGTCTAGTAAGACAAGGTAGCCTCTTTCAAAATCTGGCAGCATGTGGGAGGCAGATAAGTAAAGCAATTGCTATAGTGTGATAAATGCTATGGCACAGAAGTGTCAAAATCACACTGAAACTCCATGAGAGATAGGATCCCTGGAATTGCTTTGAGGTTAAAAGGAGATAGGTAGGAAATTGAGGTGATACAAGGGCTCTTTGTGAAAAAGAAACATGCCATGTGCAAAGACACCAAGACGGGGGAAAGTCACAAGCTCTAGGAACTGC